GTCTATTTCCGTTACCAAGTTAGAGAAGATTTTTGGTTATTCTTATTTCCAAATAAGTTTTCAATTTCTTTTCATTTATTTATTTATTTTTAGACAGAGGGGAAGGGAGGAAGAAAGAAAGGGAGAGAAATATCAATGTGTGGTTGCCTCTCATAACCCTCTCAGTGGGGACCTGGCCTTCTACTGAGGCATGTTCCCTGACTGGGAATCGAACCAGTGACCCTTTGGTTTGCAAGCCGGCGCTCAATCCACTAAGCCACACCAGCCAGAGCAGTTTTCAATTTCTTGTTCTCTCTCCTCTTCTGGCATCCACAGGATGCAAATGTTGGTATGCTTGAACTTGTCCCAGAGGCTCCTTACACTATCCTAATTTTTGTGGATTCTTTTTTCTTTGTGCTGTTTTGATTGGGTTTTTTTGCTTCCTTATATTTCAAATTGCTGATTTGATTCTCAGATTCATCTACTCTACTGTTGATTCCCTATAAGTTGTTCTTCATTTTAGTTAGTGTATCCCTCATTTCTAACTTGTCCTTTTTTATGCTGTTGAGATTCTTACTAAGTTCGTTGAGCATCCTTATAACCAGTATTTTGAACTCTGCATCTAGTACATTGCTTGTCTCCATTTTGTTTAGTTCTTTTACTAGAGTTTTGCTCTGCTCTTTCATTTGAGATATATTTCTTTTCTCCTCATTTTGGCAGCCTCCCTGTGTTTGTCCCTATGTATTAGGTAGAGATGCTATAACTCTTGGGCTTGGTTGAGTGGCCTAATATAGTATGTGTTCTATAGAGTCCAGTGGCACAGCCTTCCCAATCACTTAAGCTGGGTACTCGAGGTGCACCCCGTGTGGGCTGTGTATACCCTCCTATTCTAGTTGGGCCTTGATTGCTGTTGGCATGTCAATGGAATGGATTTACCCCCAGGCCAATCAGCTGCAAGCACTGGCTCTGACCCTCATCACCAACCAACCTCTTACCACCATGAAGGATCAAATGTAAAAGGCCAAACCCACAGAGTAGTACTTACTTCAGTGGGGCTCTGGTGCCCACTGAATCTGCCCCTTGAGTGTGTCACTTGTGGAGGTGGTTGGGTGGTGATGCTTCAACGTTGTCTAAAACTGTCCACTGGGTACACTTGCCTGGGAATGCCTGGGAAGTGCAGGCCAAGGTCAGCCAGCACCTAAGTTCTGCCTGGGGCCACCTGGCATGAGCTACAAAGCAATCTGCAGGTGACTGCTACTTGTGCTGGGCTTGGAGGTATCCGGAAGAGGCCTAGCTACAAACCAAGACCAGCTCCTGTTAGTGCCAGGCCTGGGGCCAGTTAGCAAGAGGTACCGGCATGCTGAAGCCAGGTGCTGCTTGTTTCAAATATTTTAGGAGTATCTAAAGCATGAGCCAAGCCAGGCCATTTGTATGGAAAAGCCACTAGAAACAGTTTGGTTGGGCCAGAATGTTGGGTAGGGCAGGGTTTTAGGAATCACCAGAGCAGGGTGAACAGTATAAGCCAGGTTGATGTAGTCTCAGATATGGTGCCAGCCTTCTGGCTCTATGTGGGAAGGGCTCAGCCAAAGAACAATGGCCTCTACCAGCACTTCTGTATCAGAGAAAGCCGGCCCCCAGCTCTCTCCCTGACGCCAGACAATTCGGATCCTCCCACATATCTCTGGTGCCTCTCAGGCTGCTGCCATAGTACTGGAGTTCAAAGGGAGTTAGTCTAAGTAATTTTATGTATGGGCCCTTTCAGAGGAACTGCCTACAACTCCAGAAGCCCTCTGTTTCTCTCAGCCTCAATCCCCACTGGTTTTCACAGCTAGAAGTTATGGGACTTCTATTCGTGGCCCTGAAATGCTAGGATGGGGTGCCTGGTGTGGGCTGGGACCTGTTGTTTCTCAGGATGGGACCTCTGCCATCAAGATACTCCTCCCAAAATTGATCGGCAACATGTGGGTGAGGGACCATCCAGTTCTACATCTTCACCCTAGTCTCTGCCCCTCCTACCAGTCTCAATGTCGCTTCTTCCCTTAATTCCCTGGTCATAGGACCTCCATTCATCTATATGTCAGGCAGTTCTGAATGATGGTTGTCCTGTAGTTTAGTTATAAGTTTGATGTGGTTGTGGGAGGAGGTAAATACCAGATTTTTTAAAATTATAAATGAATACACACTCATATAATCTTTGGAAAATGTATTCATAAAGAAAGCTAATCAGCTTGAGTGTTACTGTGTCACTTGGATCTGCTTGAATCTGCTACTATTCATATTTTTTATAGAAAATCATTTTGAAAACGTTTATACTTATTAGTTAAAAAATGCATTCAACCTAAGTCTCATACATATAATGAATATTGTGGTTAATCACTGCTACTCCAGCACATAGAAACCTACCAGGCAAATCTATACATTCAAGGGAGAAAAAAACCTCACAGCTCCTGTCCACATACCTGGCCTTCCTGTTAGGATCCCTCTTGAATTTCATGAAAAGTGAAAGTTATATAAATGGTTTTAAACAGCCAAGATTTTACAGTGCTAAAGATTGCATGGAATAACTAGAAATAAATATTTTGTTGGTTTATCTAGACTGAGTAAATTATGGTCATCTCATTCTATGAAATATTAGGCTGCTATTAATAATGAAAAATATGAAGACTATCAACATAGAAAAATTTCCAGAACAGTATCAAATAAAAGGAACAAAATATTTTATAAACGAAAATGAAGATTATGTAAAAATATGGGTACATATATATACAATAGAAGGAGAATAGAAATATCAGTTATTTTGGTAGTCAAATCAAAAGAAATTTTCATCTTTAATTTCTTTAATGATAGTTTAATAAATTATTTAAATAGTGTTTTAAAACAGTTTATCTATATATTATAAAATAATTATCTAACCTATATCACTTTTTCATAACTATAACCCACAGAAACTTTTAGGTGTATTTTTTAAAACTTTTAGATCTCTCAACTTTCATTACTCTAAAGCCAACCTAGAAGTCAAAAGCTGGAAAATCTTTTATCTCTGTTTCTGGGATAGGCAATACAGGGAAGTCCTCATCCCATTTTAACTTCTGCCCCTAGATCTGACCTGCTATCAAAGCAGGATGGACAAGAATATTAGACTCAATCAAGTGAGTGCTATCTTACTGAACCTCTGCAATTTAGTATTCCTTAAGCCCTAAGTTTCTGTATTTATAAAATTGTCCAAGAAGTCAAATGCTTTAAGATTTATCTCAGATCCAGGACCAATCTCCTACCTTCTTAACTCCTCAGCTCTGGAGAACACAGTGCTTAGCATTGTATTTCACCTTGCTAAGAGCGGGCCAAACCTTGAAGTGGTGATTGTAACCCTAAAGATAAAAATCATTTGTTTCTCAAGAAGAAAACTACCATTTATTGAATACTTGTGAGCCCGGCCCTGTACCAAGCACTTTGTATATGCTACATGAACCACCAAAGACCATAGAACCAGTTCCTGGAGTTAGCCAAGGAAATTTGCATTTGTAACAAATATACTAATTAACTCCTAAACACACACAAGTTTGAAAACCAAAGGTCTAAGGGCCAGCATTTTTCAAACTGTTAATGACAATTTATTAGTGGGTTGTGATCTACATTTTTAAAATATATATAATGGTAAGTATTTGAGTCCACTGAATGTACTAAGTACTTATTTTGTGAAACAGATATCTATCTGTATTATGTGCTGGGTCACAATATAGAATTTATTTATTAACTGTGAGTCATTGCCAAAGGATCTGAAAAGTATAAGCTAGGAATAAGGGGTATTATGGTACACGTAATTTGGCCTCAAAACCAATAATTTAACTTTAGAGAAAAATGAACATTTTACCTCCAGTTTTTTTTGTTTTGTTTTTTGTTTTTTTGTTTTTTGTTTTGTTTTTACCGTGGTAACAAGTAGAATAAACAAATTACTCAAGCTTCCCTGTCACCTTCGCCAGATGGGGTGAAAGTTAGAAAAACATGACAGGAGAAAGAAGGAAAGCATTTTACTTAATTCATTATCAAATTCCAAGGCCTGGATAACCAAAAGTAACTATCCATTAAATTCATTCTATCTCTTCTTGCTTAGAAAACTCAAATAAGGAATGCAGGGTCCCACCAGCGAACAGAGCTAATCAGTTCCAATGCTCCAAAGCCATCCCTGTTTTACCCCTTTGATTAAAACCAAACCACGGAATTTGTCGGAACCTACAGTCACAAGTGTACCTCTAAGTGAAGATACTCTCGGATTGCCAAAAAGTGACAAGCCAGAAGCACACTTGCGTTTCCCCTGTCTCAGGCGGGAAAGCGGGTCCCCGGGTACTGCGATGTCCCGGGAAGTGGGAGCTACGGAGAGTTCCAGCTGGTGCCTAACAGGACCCACGTGGCCGAGGAAGGGGTGCTCCCACCGCCGCTCTAGACACAGGCTTGACCACAACCACGGGGGTGGGGGAGCGGGGGGAAGTGCGAGCTCACGTTACACTCATGAGCCCGAAGCCAGGGCGGAACCAAAACTCTCGTCTCTGTCGCAGGGTGGGAAGGAGTCGTGGGGAGCAAGTGTAGAGCAGCCGCAAAACCTCTGAACCGCCGGACCACCGAGCCTACCCTTCAGCTGCAGCTACTCCGGAGTTGTCCAATCTGGAATTCGGGTGACGGAAAAGCTTAATGAAGAGCAAGCCTGTGGATGACCCCGGACAAACAAAAACCCTTGGTAGCTAGCGCAACTGCCGATCACTATCAGGACCCCAAAGTAATTGGGTGGCAGCCAGAGAGGCGGGGCTGGGTTCCACTCTGGCCGGAAATAACCAGACTCCACAGAATACAAGCTCTTGCTAGAGTGACACTGGCCAACACAGAGGCCAGCTGGTCGACCTATTAAGTGAAAAGGGCAGCCATAGACCTTGACTGGCAAGCGCTCGGATTGGTTGACTTTGGTACGACTCTTCCACGATTGGCCACGCAAGTCAAGAAGCCGGGAGGTGGGCGGGGGGAAAGCAAACTGTTACCCAGGCAACAGACTCACAGCTCTGGGCTATTTTCTGAGCCTAGCCTGAGACCAGAAAACTGACCCAGGTGAGGAACCCATACCTTTCCTGGGGGCGGAAACAAACAGTCCTCAGATCCCGTGGCTATCAGAGAAAAGTAGGGAGAACTCTAGGTACTTAACGCTGAGAAATAGCCCCCGCCGCCCACCCCAAAAGCCGCAAGTCGCAGGTAGAGCAGATCCTAAATTCCCCTGCCCGAGACACTCTAAGCAAAAAGCTTTAACAAAACTCAGTGTTATCAGAATGTGAGTTAGAGTGGGGGCAGTTTTACCATACAGGGGATAGATGCCGATCCAATGTCCTAAAGCAACAATAAACAAGTGTAGGCTTCTCAACCTTTTACTCCACTCACACACTATGGTTGTAACACGAATTTGAGTGTGAAAACTACGTGTCCTTCTTGGTAAATCTGGGTGCTCCAAGTGGGAGTTTTACATGTATAGGCATGATTTATCCTGGACCACCATGCCTTGGTTGGGATGTAATTTTTAGGGAGTATAATGCTGAAAAAAAATTGGCCTGTGCCATTGTTACCTGGACAACGTTCGGTGTTCAAGAACGTGAATGTCCTAGCCTGCGGGTTCCAACCGTCTTTGAGCAGATCCCTTGAGGAGTAAGAGGCAGTCAGTTCATACTTAGAAAACGGGAGTGTAGTGTATAAAGACAACGTGTACCTATCAAACCTGCTACTCATCAAGGGCTAATTGGGAAAGTACGTCCCTTTCATCAAGTAAGAAACTATCAAAAAATGAAATTTGAGTTAGGGGAGAAAACTGAATTTGACCGAGAGATGGGGGTCATTTCTCTTAAGAGTTTCCTGTTGTGAAAAGGATTCAGGATAGATACTATTTCCTAAAGAATATGGAGAAAACATGCATGTTGGGGAAATTTTTCAAAGTACTGAAGGAAAACTTTCTGTCCCAAGTACTTTTTAGATAGAGGTGAAAGAAATATGAGAATGAGGCAGAGAAACAGAAAAAAGTTATTGACAAGTGTGGTAAGTTTGGCTAAAATAAAAAAGAAGCTCATTTCTTGACCTTTAGGTTTATGAAAAATTCCATCTTCTTTCAAAAATCATCTTCCATTAAATATATTTTAAGTTTGCTACAAAACTCTTTTTAAGTCTCCATAGTTCTTCATGCCTTGGTACATTCAGTGGCAGTGAAATTTAGACATAAAAAAAGAAACCATTTTTGGTTTTGTAAACATAAAGATGAATTATTTTCATGGACATAGAATCATGAATGTGTATAGTTGTGAAAAAATGTAAAAAAGGGGAAATAATTAGTATATTATAATTTAATTCAGACATAGGCAAAGGTGATATTACTTTTGTGTTTTTAGAAGAATATTAATAGTAGTATGGCTAAATAAAGCATTATGTAAGTAAAGTTGCAAAACAAATGCCAAGTTTATTTAAGAGAGTAAATGGATTTTTGAATACTTTGAAATATTTAGCTATGAATAGTCTTTACAAAGGAGTATGTATTTACCTGTTAAACAATTTCCCAAAGGATTCCATTGGAAGATTCTTTATTATTATTTTATGTACTACATATAGTTAAATAAATAAAATAGCATTGCTTTCTGAGTAGTCTAAAAACCACAGTTTTCACTAATTTAACCTAGACTTCTCTCCAATTAGTTCAAGTCAAAGAGCCATTGCCATTGACACTGTGAATGGAGGCAAATCAAATAGAAAGCATGACCCCAACCCTCACAACCAGGTTATTGATATTGCTTCAGTGCCATTGGTCTGGAGCTATTCTGGTTGAGCTTGTTTAGTCCCTAACTGGTTCCAATGTTTTGGTAATGAGCCAGTTTTGAAGTGGTCAGCTCTTTAGCTCATTGTGGCCCTAAGGGCTCTGGTTGACATAGGAAAATCAGAAACTCTGTCTAGAATATGCTTCCATTGGAATTGGCCTAGCAAAGGAAAGTGAAAGAAATAAAAACAAAGGGCCTAGAAAATTATTTTCTAAATAACCAAATCTCAGGTACAAGATTTAGTAATATATTTTAAATGAAAGTCCTACTTTTTTTTTTTTTAGTTTAAATTCATTGGCCTATTTAAGTGGCAGTGTGATTCAAACGTAAGCATTGTGACTCTGAAATATTTTTTTATCTCTGCACTACACTACCTGAGTAGTCTAGGCAAGAGGAAGAATATATTCCAAGGGCAGAAGATTATTGGATATATTTAATAAGTAGTTCAATTTTTAACAAAATGCAAATTACATGTAGGAGAAGCATAGGAGGGAAGGGAAGAAAATTAGGTTTGGGTAATATCCTGAAGAACCTTGAATGCTGGTCTCAAGATAAACTTAATGTATATCAAAGTTACATACAACATAGCTCTACAAATAAATAACACTGTATAGTTCATAAAAAACATCTTGACTTAGTTTTACCAATGTTATCTGTTTGTGTCAAATGAATATCTTTAATATCTTTTAAATAAATTCTAGTAAATTATTTGTAATGTGTTAGACTTCTAAAAAGATAGTAGAATCTTAGTTCCATTAAATTTATAATTTTTTTCAAGAATTCACCTTCTTGTTTTCCTCTCTTAATACTACTGGTGATTCTTTTGTGTCTCAAAATTTAATATCCACAAACTTGTCATGATTTCTTATATTGTGTTTACAGATTATTATTACAGAGGATTTGATACAATTGTTTTGCTAAAGTGCCAATTATATTGTGATAACTTTAATTTAGCTTAGTATGAATCTATGTTATTTTATGCCAACATAACTTGGAATTTAAGAAGTCCAACCCATAATATGCTTCAGATAAATAAAATGTTACTATAAATTATTATGAATGATTTGTTTAACAAATACACTCAAACATATATGTCCCAAGGAGTAGCATCCCCTTTAAAGTAGTTATAAGACTACCCACTCATTTTAATATTCTTGTTATTGCTCATATTACTTTGAAAACTACTCTTTTAGACTTGCCTAGAGGCCAGTAATACATTCTTTTGAATATCCTCAGAGTAGCAAATCTTCATATTTTGAAAGTAGATGGGATATCTAGATATATCTAGAAATTACTTGGAGATAAATCTCATGTATTATCAAACTGAGTCATACCATAATGGGACCTATTTTCTTGGCAGTACATATTAAGGAATTTCAAAATATTTTGAACATTGATAGCATAATTTGTATCAGTGTATAACCTTCCAAAGGAACTACTTTATTTTGCTTTATTGTTATTAAGATTTTATTTATTTATTTTTAGAGAGCAGGGAAAGGGAAGGAGAGAGGAAGAGAAACATCAGTGTGTGGCTGTCTCCTGTGTGCCCCCTACTGGAGGTCTGGCACACAGCCCAGGCATGTGCCCTGACTGAGAATTGAACTGGCAGCCCTTTGGTTCACAGGCCCGCACTCAATGCACTGAGATACACCAACCAGGGCTACTTTATTTTATTTTACTTTTTAAGTATGTATTTTTTATTATGCTACTACAGTTGTCCCAATTTTTTATCCCCTTTATACCCCTCCTCCCTGCACCACCCCCACCCTCCAGCATTTCCCTGCCCCCTCAGTTCATGTCCATGGATTGTACATATACATTATTTGGCTTCTCCATTTCCTATACTGTTCTTAACCTACTCCTGTGTATTTTGTGCCTACGTATTATGCTTCTTACTCCCTGTATCTTTTCCCCTCATTCTCCTCAGCCCCCTCCCCACTGATAACCCTCCATGTGATCTCCATTTCTGTGATTCTCTTCCTGTTCTAGTTGTTTGCTTAGTTTGTTTTTATTTTGTTTTGTTTTGTTTTTAGGCTCAGTTATTGATAGCTGTGGTGGCATTTTATTTACTCTTCATAGTTTTGATTTTCTATTTCCTGGATAAGTCCCTCTAACATTCCATATAATAAGGGCTTGGTGCTGATCAACTCCTTTAAAATAACTTGACCTTACCTGGGAAACACTTTCTCTGCCTTCCATTCTAAATGATAGCTTTGCTGAATAGAGTAATCTTGGATGTAGGTCCTTGCCTTACATGATTTGGAATACTTCTTTCCAGCTCCTTGCCTGCAAGGTTTCTTTTGAGAAATCAGCTGATAGCCTTTTGGGAACTTTTTTTGTAGGTGACTGTCTCCTTTTTTCTTACTGCTTTTCAGATTCTGTCATCATTAATCTTGGGTAACTTAACTATGATGTGTCTTGGTGTGTTCCTCCTTGGGTCCATTTTTTTTTTTTTGACTCTCTGGGCTTCCTGGACTTCCTTGAAGTTTATTTCCTTTGCCAGAATGAGGAAATTCTTCTTCATTATTTGTTGAAATAAGTTTTCAATATCTTGCTCTTCTTCTTGTCCTTCTGGAACTCCCATGATTCAAATATTGGAACACTTAAAGTTGTCCTGTAGGTTCCTAAGCCTCTCCTCATTTTTTTCAATTCTTGTTTCTTCATTCTGTTCTGGTTTGATGTTTATTTCTTCCTTTTGTTCCAAACTATTGATTTGAGTCCCAGTTTCCTTCCTTTCACTGTTGGTTCCCTGTGTATTTTTCTTTATTTCACTTTGTGTAGCCTTCATTTTGTGACTGAGCTCAATCTTTTCTGAGAACATCCTTATTACCAGTGTTTTGAATTCTGCATCAGATATGTTGTCTGTCTCCTCGCCACTTCATTCTTTTTCTGGAGCTTTGATTTGTTCTTTCATTTGGGCCATATTTCTTTGTGTTGGTGCACCTGTTATGTGGTAAGGGATGGAGTCTAGGTATTTTCCAGGGCAGAGCAACCCTCTTTGCTGCGTTGTGGCACTCTCTGTTGGGGAGGAGTCAGAGAGAGGACATGCTGCTTACTCTGCTCTCATCCCACTTTCTGTCACTTCCCTCGCTTCCCACAAGCAGATTGTGGAAAGGGATTACTTTAAAATATAAGATTTGTATGAAGTTAATCATACTTCATTCGGTGTTTGTCCACTGCTGACTACATGCCAATTTCAGTTATTGAAGACGTTTAGTCTACAGGTATAGCTTCCTACCACCTATACTGTCCTGCTTCTCACCAAATGAGAACCAGGCCCAGGCTTCTTCCCAGTGTGGGGATTTATAATTAATCTACTTTCCCTAAATCCAGTATTCAGTGTACCCACTGAGGCACAGGCTTTCTTTATAACTTGTACTGTGGTCACCCAGTTGACACGAGAAAGCCTTTGATGCAGTACCTGGTTTGTTTTCCCTTTCCCAGTTGTGACTTTTAGTCCTGCCCTATTCTATACCTTTGTCTGTCTTTGTCTATCCCCTCATCTATGGGCCAGGGTCCTACTTCACCCTAAGTGGGCCTCCCTATAACCTTGACAATTCAACCTTCCTTCCCTGAAACACTGATCATATCCTGAAACCACCCCCAGCCATGCTCCTGCCTAGCAAATCAGGACACCTGAATCACAGTTTTGATTACTATCTCAGACACTATATTTGGGGCTTCTGAATACCCTTCTTCCATGTTAGCTCTACTAGTTTCAGTTTATTTCCCCTCTCACCAGCCCACCATTGAGATCTCAGAAGCCTCATCATCAAGCATCTGTGGGATCTGGCACTATGTGCCAGGCAATAATGATATTTTTACATAGTGTTTCACAATGTAGCAAACTCTTTCAAAATCATTGCATAAAATGGCATCACAACACTTTTATTAGGTAGGTAATGCTGAAATAAGAAACCAATGTTTGCTATATTTGTTTTTTAAAATTCTCACTGTACAATCTCAAAATGATAATTATATCATTGCATCTGATATTTGTATCCATTTTCCCCTTTTGTTTTTTTTTTCTTTTTTAAAATTTTTTATTTAATTATTTTTCAACTACAGTATTCTGTCTTTTACTCCCATCCCAGCCCACCCTCCCCGTGCCCCCCACCTCTGTCCCATTTCCACCCCCTTAGTTGTTGTCCATGTGTCCTTTATACTAGTTCCTATAAATCCTTCCCCTTTTACCCCTGAAATTCCCTCCCCTCTCCCCTCTGGTTGTTGTCCCCCTGTTCTCTGTTTCAGTGTCTTTGTTTTTATTTTGCTTGTTTGTTTGTTTCATTGTTTAGCTTCCTGTTAAAGGTAAGATCATATGGTATTTGTCTTTCAACACCTGGCCTATTTCACTCAGCATAATGCTTTCCAGTTCCATCCAAGCTGTTGCAAAGGGTAGGAGCTCCTTCTTTCTTTCTGCTGCATAGAATTCCATTGTGTATATGTACCACAATTTTTTGATCCATTCATTTACTGATGGGCACCTAGGTTGCTTCCAACTCTTGGCTATTATAAATTGTGCTGCTATGAACATTGGTGTGCATAGGTTCTTTTGGATTGGTGTTTCAGGGTTCTTAGGATATAGTCCCAGCAATGAAATTGTTGGGTCATAAGGCAGGTCCATTTTTAGTTTTCTTAGAAAATTCCATACTGTTTTCCATAATGGTTGTGCCAGTCTGTAATCCCACCAACAGTGAACTAGAGTCCCGTTTTCCCCACAACCTCTCCAACACTTGTTGTTTGTTGCTTTGTTTATGATAGCCATTCTGATTGGTGTAAGGTGGTATCTCATTGTGGTTTTAATTTGCATCTCTCTGATAGCTAGCAATATTGAGCATTTTTTCATGTGTCTCTGGATGTTCTGTATGTCCTCCTTGGAGAAGTGTCTGTTCAAGCCCTTTTCCCATTTTTAATTGGGTTGCTTGTCTTCTTAGAGTGGAGTTGTGTAAGTTCTTTGTATATTTTGGAGATTAAACCCTTGTCTGAAGTATCATTGGCAATTATGTTTTCCCGTACAGTTGGTTGTCTTTTTTTTTTTTTTATTTATCCTTAGAGGGGAAGGGAAGGAGAGAGGGAGAGAAATATCAATGTATGGTTGCCTCTCGTGAGTCTTCTGCTGGGAACTGCCCTGGAACCCAGGCATGTGCCCTGACTGGGAATTGAACTGCAATCCTTTGGTTCCCAGGCCCATGCTCAATCCACTGAGCTACACCAGCCAGGGGGTTGTCTTTTTATGTTAATAGTATTTTCTTTAGCCATGCAGAAGCCTTTTATTTTGATGAGATTCCATTTGTTTATTCTTTCCTTTATGTCCCTTGCTCTAGGGGACATATCAGTAAAAAAGTTGCTGCGTGAAATATCTGAGATTTTCTTGCCAATGTTCTCCTCTAGGATTTTAATGGTTACGGAGTAGGACGGAGCAGAATCCCTTTTGTTTTCAAAGGTAGAAAATGTTTTAAACTTTTTGCTTTTAATATTAAGTAAATATTATTCATTTCCATAGCAGACTACCAGACCATGCTGTGAGAAAAGATTTTTTTCTACCTCTTAATTTCACTTTTTCCAATTTAATGAGTTTCCAGTGAAATTAGTTTTATCATTAACTTATTCAACATAATTATGAGAAGTGATATTCATGTCCAGAAATATGAAATTTTTAAAGAACCAGTAATAGCTAACATGTCTAGTGCTAAGTGTGTACCAGGCACTGTTCCAAGCTCTTTTACAAGTATCGAACTACTTAATCCTTGTTACAACCCTATGAGGCAGCACTATTGTTATTATTTCATTTTATAGATAATAAAAATGAAACACAGAAAGTTTAAATTATGTGCCAAAAGTCACAGAGCTAGGAAGTAAGTGATACATAACAAATCTAGGAGCGTGACTCCAGATCCCTTACTCTTTTTTTAAAAATTTTATTTAGTTTTTTTTTCAAGTACAGTTTTTTTCTATTTCTCCCATCCCATCCCCCCACCCGCCTTACTCTTTTTAAAAATAATTATTTTATCATTGTTCAATTGCAGTTGTCTGCATTTTCCCCAAACCACTCCAGATCCCTTACTCTTAACCACTGTGATATACCGCGTCTATACTTGCATGTACATGACAATTTAACATTTGATTCATATTCTTGACATCTCCTATAGTTATTAAAATCAGTTTCCCATTTAAAAATTAAAATAAAAATAATGGTTAAAATTATAATAAAACAGGACATTTATAAAACACCATTTGCATGCAGATTGATTTTGACAGGTGATTATGCCAGTACACATTTCAGAATCCCTTTTGTATTCCTGTTCTAGGCACAATGCAAAAAAATTATTGATTTAATTATAGCACTAAAGTAATGTGTAATGTGAATTAATTTTATAAAACTATATTTTAAATATCAGCAGAAATATAGAAAAGATTCCTATTACATCTATGCCTAACTCACTAAAAATAGGCCTAATTCTACAGTCTTTATTCAGGTTAGTTACTCAAGTCTGACACTTCCATGATTTTTAAAGATCCTGAATTCCTACTCCAAATATAACTGTAGAGATTATTTAAAAGACCAATGTCTGGTTAGTAGGATTATATGTAGTTGTGATTTTCTTATTTATATTTTTAATGTATTATTTCCTAAAATTTTCACAATACACTTTTCCAGTATCATTATTATAATCAGCAAAACAGTTTATTCTGTGTGAACTTTTTTCTTTTTTCTTTTCTTCTTAAAAATTGATTGAATTTTTTGGGGTGACATTGGTTAACAAAATTATATAGGTTTCAGGGGTACAATGCTATAATACATCATCTGTATATTGTATAATATTTTTACCACCCCAAGTCAAGTTGCCTTCTATCACCAATTATACCCCCTTTACCCTCTCCCACCTTCTTCTCTGGTAACCACCATATTGTTGTCTTTATTCAGTGTTTTTTTTTTCTCCTTAAGCCCTTCACCTCTTTTTACCCAACTCCTCTACCCCCTCCCCTCTGAGAGTTTTCAGTCTGTTCTCTGTATCTATGAATCTGTTTCTATTTTGTGAACTAACCCATTTGAGTTCTCTAATGGTAACAAAATGCTAGGTGTAATCTACAGTTAATTAAAAATCTAAATAAAGCAGAAGGTACAGGCTTAGCTGAGGCAAAAGTGTGAAGTAAGTTCCTCGAGTCATACCCCACAATAAACATTCTTTTTAGTTCATTACACGGAATATACAGCCTGAGACAGCATGCATAACACAGATACTTGTTTACACAAGTATGTTTCTAAATAATGATGTACATTCTACATAATATGGACTCCATGCTCTCTAGAGGTAGGGCTGAAATCTGCATTTTAACCAACTCCACAAGCACACTAAACCTTAGAACCACTCTAGTAGGTGCTCAATAAATGCTTGTTAAATTGAGTATGAAGTTTGAGTAAAGTAAGCTGAATATTTGACTTGACTTGCCACCCCTGGTCTGTGAGTCAGCTAGCTACATATATAACTGAAGGAGTTTACAAGGATTTTCAAGGAAGAATAATAAATAATGGAGTGACCCAAGGAAAGAAGGAAGATATGACAATAAAAAACATGTCTTAAAATAGAAAACTAAAATACCTCTTTCTGATTATTCCTCAGAATATGGAACTGGAAAATATGGAACCTGAATATACAGAAACTAAAAACATGAAATCAGAAAATATGGAAACTGAAACTATTTCTTCAGTTTCAACTCTACAAGCCCTTTCTAAGCTACTTTATCCTGAAGAAGAGGATGATTTTGAGTCCGAACAGGTGGTTGTACTTACAGATGAATTAGTTCTGTTCACAATATGCTGTAACTGTATTTGAACAACTTGTTCCAACCTTACTCTGAAAGTAAGGCTATGTCATTTGATATGTTTGCAGGAGGTTGAAGAGCTCATTATTCATGACAGTAAAACCTTTAGTACATTTCTAGAAAACATAATTATATATACTTTTCTAAACTACCTGAATGCTAAATAGGAAAAAATCATTCTGTAACTATGGTAACAATAGCCACATTTCAAAATGTTTGTCATTTATATTTACGGCCAGAGAGTGCTTGACAATCATTACAAAGTGTAATAGCTAGAATTTTAAAGCATAGACGGTATTTCTATAAAACAAATAATTTCAACTAGACAGTATTAATTATACCACCCAAATTCAGTCCCCTTATTTTTTATTTGTCTACAGATGAAAGCAGAACAGAAAATATTTTGAGCCAAATAAGGGGATGAACTACCCACAGCTTACTAAAATTGACTTCCCAGTACATGCTCATACAGAGCTGTGGAATGTAATTACATAGTTGAATAGCATTTGGAGTCAGGACAGGTAACCCCAGGGAAACTTGCAGCAACAAAGATGTGCAACATTTTGAATATGAAGAGTTCCATGAGCTGACCTTTGGGCACTCCACAGTTACTGCTAATATTCCCAGTATAATCAAAATACATTTTTATGTAATCCCCCAATCTCCATTTCCTACTCCTTAGATATCAGCAAACTTTGGCTATCAGACTGCCTAAGACAAACAAAATTTGGGGCTGAAATCCCATGCTATAGTAGAATATATCTATTTGCTTTCACTACTTTTAATAAAGCTTTTCATTATTATGACAGGTTTACCATGAGCAGACTATCTCCCATGAAAATGCATATCAATTTGCTCCTGCTAAAATTCTTTTTTGCCATTGTGTAGAAAAACTACTATAATCAGAATGGGCAGCAAATTTAGTGGCTCAGATGCACAGTGGACCTAGCTTCCACCCTTCAGGGAGAGCTTAGGTGGAACAGGGTAGAAACAAATAAGATGTACAATGTAAATAAAATTTGTAGAAAAGGGGAACTGAGTCAACTTGGGGCCAGAACCAGAAATCAAGACTTTGGGGACAGGGAAAAGTCTTAGTAGAGGCCAAAAAGAAGGAAAAATTGAATGTTAATAACACCTTAAATATATACAACAAAGACACAGGAGAGAAAGTTATGAGCATGTATCAATGAAGTTAGGAAGGCAAGCTCATTTTTGCTAACTTAGCTGAAATAGAATGATACACTGGGAAAGGTGTGGTTATGTCAGATACAAAAAGTATATTAAGTATTTGAAAAACAGTGCTCTTAAACTAAAGAAAGAGGAACTTGTATTTGAAACAGATTCAGAAATAAGGAATCACTCTGATAACAAAGCCTGCTCCCTTTGGCATTTAAGTATGGCCATACTTAAATGTAAGTATGTATCTTACATTTAAGTATTTGTATCTAGAGTTGTTTCTTGGCTAATGATGAGTGCTTATGAGAATAGAGAGACTAGGACTATTTTACCAAACTGTACAATTTGAGGAAAATTACTATAGTAAAGTATGATTCTGTATATCTGGGTTATAAGCAATTTTGAGACAATTGGTCATTCAGACACCTCAGTACAGATATCATTAGAAGATATAGAATTGGATTATCAGAACAGTAGGAGAATAATTAATGTTTTTAATAAACCAGTAAATTTTCCAGGAGAAAGTGGATTTTCATTTTTTCACTCATTAATCTTGGGAACTATGGCATGATTACAAGGGTGATGTGTATTGAAAATACAGTCTCCGAAAATAACATTAGAACTGTCACATACACATTGATTCATTTATACTATCCCCACCATGAATTGTGAAGAGTCTGGGAGATTGAGAAGATAGTACATCTATTGTTTTGTTCCTTTGTTTGTTTCTTTAATGCACAAAGGGATCTTAAAGACCATGGGAAATACCATTCACTGCTCTTCACAGACATTGTAACAAGGATGTTCTAACTCTCTTACATATTTCAAAGTGGCATGAATTGTAGTGATATATTGCTCAGATAATTGGGTGTGGATTCATAGTAAAGGCTGACATGATAGTATTGTAGAAAATACTTGTCAGATGATTCTATCATCTAATTTTATCACCCTGATCCATCTTTTCCCTTGAAAATTATATTTTTAATTATTTATTTTCCCTAAGTTAAACTGAAACACCCATGTTCTGATATACTAATCCAATCATCACTGTCTGTCTAGGGCATACCAATTTTTTTCAGAAATGTTCAGGTTTTTATTTATACAGATTTTATTTTTTTGTTGAAGGAGGCACTCAACAAAACAAAAGGCTCTGATGTTCCAAGAAATGTTTTACTCTAATTGACTACTAGTATTCCAGTGATTAATAATTTAAGAGAGGCACTACAAGTTTATATGACTTTAGTGCTTAAAAAGATAAAAAATGTACAAAGTATTTTCTTGGGATATTCATATTAAAATTCCTGTAACATTAACCACATACATAGCACTTTTTAAAAAAGATTTTATTTATTTATCTTTAGAGAGGAAGGGAACGAGAGAAGGAGAGAAATATCAATGTATGGTTGCCTCTGGTGAGTCCCCCACTGGGAACTGGCCTGCAACCCAGGCATGTGCCCTGACTGGGAATTGAACCACGATTGTGTGGTTTGCAGGCCCATGCTCAATCCACTGAGCTACACCAGCCAGGGCCTACATAGCACTTTTGAAGCACCTTTTGAAAAGGAATTTTTACTGTCTCAGAAACTTTCCACATTATAAATTAATTTCTGATTTATAGCTGTTGGAATAGTTTAGCACAAAAAGACCCAGGTGAGTTTTTCTACCAGCTTTCAAGGACAGACACTATTTCTCTTGCCCAAACAGGACATTATAACCTTCCTACACATATTAAGCCTTGGGAGATTGGTATGGGGACCTGAGAAAAATGAGCTAGAGGTGCTACTTTCCCAGGATCCAAGGAGATAAGAAATTTTTGATTGCCAGCAAATGAAGTGAATTAGAGCACAGAATCTGACATCAACAAGGACAACCAATTTTTTACAATAAGATTTTCTTCAAATGTCAAAGAACCCCTGAGAGGGACCAATGAAATGGTTGCCACTATAATGATGTTATAATATGTGTTAGGCATAGTTGAAAAAAAAAAGCTGTTCCTGTACTGGTGCATCAGGGGCACTCCTGTGGGCATATATATGCTTGTGCAGACTATGGCAAAATAGCCTTGAACTTGTATGAAGACTTATTGTGATTCAGCATATAGTTGACAGTATTAATTTGGATTTGCTGTTTACATTTTCTAGTTCTATAATATGAAGTGGTGAGTGAAGCAGTGTTTCATATCCACCGCAAAGAAGTAAAAGATGAAATTGGGACTTTTTAAAAGTATATTTAATTGATTATTGATTATGCTATTACAGTTATCTTATTATTTCTCTCCCCTTTATTCCCTTTCACCCTGCACCCCTCCTCTGATAAGCATTCCCTTCCTTAGTTCATCTCCATGGGTCTTACATATAAGTTCTGTGGTTTCTCCATTTCCCATACTATTCTTAACTGTCTAATGTGTACAAACCAATTATGCTTCTTATTCCCTGTACCTTATCCCCCAACCTTCCCCTCTTCCTTCCCATCGATAATCCTTCCTGTGCTCTCCATTTCTGTCATTCTGTTCCTGTTCTAGATGTTTGCTTAGTTGGTTTGTTTGGGTTTTTTTTTTTTTAGGTACAATTGTTGACAGTTGTGAGTTTGTTGCCATTTTACTCTTCATAGTTTTGATCTTCTTTTCCTTACATAAGTTCCTTTAACATTTCATATAATAAGGGCTTGGTTATGATAAACTCCTTTAACTTGACCTTATCTGAGAAGCATTTTATCTGCCCTTCCAGTCTACATGATAGCTTTGCTGGATAGAGTAATCTTGGATGTAGGTCCTTGCCTTTCATGAATGTGACTGCTTCTTTCCAGCCCCTCTTCCCTGCAAGGTTTCTTTGGAAAAATGAGCTGAGAGTCTTATGGTAACTCCTTTGTAGGTAACTGTCTCCTTTCCTCTTGCTGCTTTTCAGATTCTTTATCTTTAATCTTGGCTAATGTAATTATGATGTGCCTTGGTGTGTTCCTCCTTGGGTCCAACTTCTTTGGGACTCTCTGGGCTTCCTGGAATTCTGTTTCCTTCACCAGATTGGGGAAGTTCTCCTTCATTATGTTTTCAATGCCTTGCTCTTTCTTTTTTTCCTTCTGGCACCCTTAGAATTCAGATGTTGGAATGCTTAAAATTGTCCCAGGGGTTCCCAAGCCTCTCCTCATTTAAAAAAAAATCTTGTTTCTTCATTCTTTTCTTGTTAAATGTTTATTTCTTCTTTCTGCTTCAAATTGTTTATTTGAGTCCTGGTTTCCTTCCCTTCACTGTTGGTTTCCTGTATATATTTCTTCATTTCACTTTGTATAACCTTCACTTCTGCCTCTGTTTTTACATCCATACTCAATCAATTCTGTGAGCATCCTGATTACCAGTGTTTTTAACTCTGCATCTGATAGGTTAGCTATCTCTTCACCGCTTTGTCCTTTTTCTGAGTTTTGACCTGTTCTTTCATTTGGGCCATATTTCTTTGTCTCAGTGCACCTGTTACATTGTAAGGGAAGGAGCCTTATTTATTCACGAGGGTGGGGCAACCCACGTCACTGCATTGTGGCGCAGTCTGATTGAATGTTTCTTCTTTAACTCCTTTGTCATTGGAGTTCTCTGCAGTTTGATTTTCTGGCAATTCTGGTTGTTTTTTGTTTTTAAATTTGTTGTTATTCTTATTTTGGTTGTGGGAGGAAGCGAAGTGTTTCTACCTATGCCTCCATCTTGACCAGCTGAAATCAAGACTTTTGAATGATTCATTTGATGTCTACTTAGACTCTATTTAATGGTTTGTTTTTGTATCTATAAAACTTTCCCATACTTCTGCCTCCCATCTAACTGTGGCCAAACATTACCTGTACCCAAAAGTGTTGATGCTCTTATATTAATACTTGGTTTTAACCTTCAAAGAGATGAATGTAGATCATTCCCCTGTCCCCAGGAATCCATAATTCACTGAGTTGGAACTGGGGATTTACTCATCAAAGGTCAATTCTGCCTTAGAGTCTATTAAACCAAATACTTTTTGAAAGACAAGTAAAACACATTCAAAATGATACTTGACATCTGGCTCTCTGTTGTATGACAACTATAGGTAATTAAACTTAAATGCTTTATGAAATCTTAGCTGGAAAGCATATCAAGTTTAAAGTATTACTGGTCATATACACTAAACAAGTAATACAAAAAGTTGGGTTTTTTTTTCTATCCTTCCCAGTATAAATGTTCATCTGCGATTGGAGCCATGGGTCCTGGTCATATTGGACCACCAAAACAAGAAGAGCTTAAAGGTAAGTTATTTAATAGAGCATATGGGCCAAAAATAAGTAGTACATTATTTTCTTTGGGAACAAAATTATAGGGAGAATAGTACTAACACTAGCACTTATTAAAGATGAACTCAATTGTGGGAATGATGAACATTTATATATAAAGATGCTGCTTTTACTCTACTATACTTTTACTCTGTTATAGGTAAGTTGTTTTTATAGTGATGAATATTAATTTGCCTTTAATTATTCATATTTTGGCATATTTTCTGAGATGGAAAGCCACCAGCCATGTGTATTTAAGTAACTTACTATTCAGGATCTAGTTACCAAAATGTTTAGCTTCTTCACCTTCTACTCTGCTATATTCTGGCAGTTTCACAGTATTCATTCTTTATTTTATTCAATAAATCTTTATTGAGAGCCTATTATGCATCATGCAATATGATTATCTATGAGACCACAGTTAAAAATCAAAATAGAAGTGATCTCTGTTCCCAAGAAAACTACACAATTTTATCTTACATTGAACTGCTTACAAAATAAAGCCATGGGGTAACTTATAAGAGTCACAAGTCCAATAATTAGAATAAATATTTTAAATGTATTCCCAATAATTTGGCTTATACATTTTTATGGAGCTGAACATTTTATACACCTTAAAAACTATAGAAGGGTTGCCCTAGCTGGGTAGTTTAGTTGGTTTAAGTGTTGACCTGATACACCAAGGTTGTGGGTTTGATCCCTGGTCAGAGCACATACAAGAATCAACCAATGAATGTATAAATAAGTGGAACAACAAATTGATGTTTCTCTTTCTCATCCTCTCTGTTTCTCTAAAATCAATAAATAAGAAAATAAAAATTTTAATGAAAAAACTTATAGAAGGCTCTAATTCTGTTGGTCAAGATCACAGTTACTAGAAGGCGGGGATAGAAAGGAAGTAAAGTCCTCTCACCAATTTAGCTAATTGTAAAAGATTTTACCTGAAAAGATATTTTAAATAATGGATAAAATGAGGTCTGAGGGGATGATTTTTAAATATTAGTTATTACTACTCAAGAGTATATTTACCTCATTCAAGAGATATTCACACCATGGAACACTAGTTAAATTTGGATGTATTTCTGTGTTCTCTGTATTTCTGATAATGTAGATCTAATAATCTCTCAGTTCTGAAGACAATGAGTAATCTGCAAAGCATTGTATATAAAATCTGTAATTAGGCTATACAAAGCCCATGCTGAACAGAAGCAGATAAATTTTGAAGGTCAGCAGAATTAAAAATCAGGTGAATTTGAGGAGGGATGCTTAAAATGATTCCAAATTATGTTCTGCACCTAATCTAACCATCCATTTGCTTCCCTAATAGTTGGAACAAATGTAAGCTGTGTTTTATATGCTTATTTACTTTTAAACATTTTGAGTTGACATATAGAGACTCAGGCACATGCTCAATTCTACTTAAAGGGCAACAGACAGACTTTCTTTAAAGCTGATGTCTACATGACAAAATACTGGATTAAAAAATAAACATTTTAAGTTTTCTTGTTTGTTTGTTTTTTAAATATATTTTATTGATTATGCTATTACAGTTCTATTCCCCCTTCATTCCCCTCCACCCTGCACACCCCCTCCCCCACCATTCCCCCCAATTAGTTTATGTCCATGTGTCTCAAGTTCTTTAGATTCTATATTTCCCAAACTATTCTTGCCCTCCCCCTATCTATTTTCTACCTACCGTCAATGATACTTATTCTCTGTACCTTCTCTCCCCTTCTCTTCCTCCCACTCTCCTGTTGCTAAACATCCATGTGATCTTTATTTCTATGGTTCTGCTCCTGATCTAGCTGTCCTCTTAGTTTGCTTTTGTTTTAGGTGTGGTTGCTAATAACTGTGAGTTTTCTGTCCTTTCACTGTTCATATTTTTTTCTTCTTTTTCTTAGATGAGTCCTTTTAATATTTCAAATAATAAGGGCTTGGTGGTGATGAACTCCTTGAATTTAACCTTATCTGAGAAGCACTTTATCTGCCCTTCCATTCTAGATGAAAGCTTTGCTGGGTAGAGCAATCTTGGATGTAGGTCCTTGCCTTTCATGACTTGGAATACTTCTTTCTGGCCCCTACCTGCCTGTAAGGACTCTTTTGAGAACTCAGCTGACAGTCTGATGGGCACTCCTTTGTAGGTGACTGTCCCCTTATCTCTTGCTGCTTCTAGGATTCTCTCCTTCATTTTAATCTTGGCTAATGTAATTATGATGTACCTTGGTGTGTTCCTTCTTGGGTCCAACTTTTTTGGGACACTCTGAGCTTCCTGGATTTCCTGGAAGTCTATTTCCTTTGCCAGATTGGGGAAATTCTCCTTTATTATTTGTTCAAATAAGTTCTCCACTTGTTGCTCTTTCTCTTCTGGCACCCCTATAATTCAGATGTTGGAACATTTAAAGATGTCCTGAAGGTTCCTAAGCCTCTCCTCATTTTATTGAATTCTTGTTTCTTCATCCTTTTCTGTTTGGTCATTTTTTTCTTCCTTCTAGTCCACTCCATTGATTTTAGTCCCAGTTTTGTTTCCATCACTACTGGTTTCCTGTGCCTTTCCCTTCATTTCAATTAGTTTAGCCTTCATTTGTTCCTCTAATTTGTGACTAAAATCAACCAGTTCTGTGAGCATACTGATCACCAGTGTTTTCAACTGTGCATCTGATAGGTTGGCTATTTCTAGGTCACTTAGAGTTATTGGCTCTGGGGTTTTGAGTTCTTCTTGAGCCATAATGTTTTGGTCTGTTCATGCCTGTTATGTATGAGGGGCAGAGCCCTAGATGTTTAGCAGGTCGGGGCAACTCAGTCGCTGGGTTGTGATGCTGTATGTGGGGGTGGGGTCAAAGAGGGGTAATGATGGTCCCCTCTGCTGCTTCCTGCCTCTGGGTCCTGCATGGTCCATCTCACCATTTGCTCCTTCACCTAGTTTATCTGCATGAGAATGTGTGACTGCAGTCAGCCCGTTGCCTTGTGCCCTCACTGGGTCTGCTGGTCGCACCCCCATGCCTGGGATCTGCCAACCAGTGCCTGCGTGCCTGGGTCATTCTGGCCGAGTTTTCCTGCAAGACCCTGCTCTGCCAGTTGCTGGCTCCACTCCTCTTACCCATCTGGCTGAACGGTTTGTTGTTGTTAGTCTTCCGTGTAGTTCAATTTTCTGTGTTTTTCTTGTGTTTTTGTTACTAAAACATTGTTGTCTTTAAACTTGGTTGTGTGAGGAGGCACAGTGTTTCTACCTACGCCTCCATCTTGGCCAGAAGTCAACATTTTAATTTTTTTAACTGATGGTGTATCTTAAGAATTATGTTATGCTTGAAGGAAAAATGTATCAAATGGCTTTTATACAATAAAATACAGTGGAAGATAAGACATTTCTACCTAAACCAAAGTGTGTGTTTGATTTGTTCTTTTATACAAAAGTATTTACATGTGATTCTATTTGTTTCATTGCAAATATATTTTCTATTATATTAAACATGATGTTATTTTATGTGTTAAACACATTATATGATATATATATATATATATATATATATATGAATATATATGAGAGAGAATGAGGGAGGGAGAGAGAGACTGGAAGATATACATCAGAATGCTATCATTCATTATCTCTAGGTAGTTGGATTATAGATTGTATTATTTTTTTCTATTTTCTTAAATGTCTTTTCTAAATTTCTTGCAATTATTACTATAACTCTAAAATGTATTGGTTGTGTATTGATAAAAATATTTAATCAGTTGTTACTGATTTCACTCATATACAGAATCTAATGAACAAACTGAATTAACAAGCAAGACAGAGACAGACTTATAGACAGAGAGGAAGATGACAGCTAGAAGCAGGAGGGTAGGGGGTGAAGGGATTGAGCAAAAAGGAAAAAGGATTTATTCACATAGACAACAGTGTGGTGACTGCTTGGGGGAGGGGAGTATAGGGGCCTAAATGGTAATGGAAAATATAATAAAGATTACGCATTTAAAAAATAATCAGTTGTTACTAATTTATCTTGTTTTTGGTAAAAATACAAAGTACAAATAAGAAATGTTTTACTTTGTGATCCCCAACTGAGTGTACAAGAGCAATTTTGAGGGGAAATGGGCAACAGGTTCAGCTTTCTCTTCTCTTTCTTTACAGTTATTCCACAAACCAGTGACGAAACTAGGGAGGCCATCTGGAATCCAGAAGAAGTTCCAGAAGGAGCAGAGCACGCTGACATGTGGGATACTAGAGAAATACCAGAGTAAGTCAAATGAAGCCAAGAATTTATTTAGGGGTTTAAATAGATGGGGACATCTGATACCATTCTATTTTTGACAAGATTCATAAAATGACTTCTACCATGTAAAAGATAAAACTACAGTGACACACAGAAGGCATGTGTAGTTGAATATTTTTTTTCCTTCTAAAGCAGAAACAAACAATAAAACATAAGATCTTCCCTTCACTTATTATCTAACAAAAATGGAAAATACAGTCCTTTCTGTTGTATATTTATATTTAATGTCAGTTACTTATATGATGTGGAACTAATAGTAAGAAAATAGCCTATTAAATCACAAACATTCATACAAACTAAACTATTATGTCATGTTTATATGTCAAAGATCTGCTTTTAATTACTTAATGTTCCACATTAACTATAGCTGTAAAACTATGTCCAATGCCTCAAAAAAAAAACCCCATAAAACCCTATGCTTCTATCTTCTAAGTCAGTTCTGAAAATAAAAGCTGTTGGAGATGGCAGATAATTAACTGGAAAAAAGATATATCCAGCTTTCAAATAAACAATGTCAAAAATTGTAACCTTCATAAAAATTAAATGGGATTTTAAAACACTTCAGTCTACATTTTAAGAATGAAGAGAGTAAATCTGTTATGTTTGTATTTTATGCACACATCCATATGAAAGATAACAATTAAGTCACTAGACTTCTGGCCAAGATGGAAGTGTAGGTAGATACACTGTGCCTCTTTGCACAACCAAAAGAAGGACAACAACAAATTTAAAAACAAAAAACAACCAAAACTGACAGAATATTGAACTGTATGGAAGTCTGGCAACCAAGGAGTTAAAGAAAAAACATTCATCCAGACAGGTGGGAGGAGCAGAAACAGGCAGCCGGGCAGAGAGGACTTGTGGCAAGGCAGCAGCTGGAGGACCCAGCAGTCTCACATTTGCATGTGGATAGACCAAGAGGAACAACAAGGGAATGAGATGGACCATACACCCAGGGTTCCAGTGCCTCAAAGCCTCTGACTGAAAAAACCTCTGGGGGGTTGAGGCAGCAGAAGAAACCCCCAGTCTCACAAAAGAGTTCATTGGAGGGACCCACAGGGTCCTAGAACATACATAAACCCACCCACCCAGGAATCAGAACCAGAAGAGCCCAATTTGCTTGTGGGTAGTGGAGGAGGGGACTAGAAGCTGGCAGGGAGGTGGGGGGGCCTCACTGTAATTTCTTGGGCTCCTCCTCCACATATAGCACCATAGCTCAGCAGCGTGGGTTGCCCCACCCTGATGAATACCTAAGACTCTGCCCCTTACTATGTAACAGGCACAGCAAGACAAGGAAAAAAATGGCCCAAATGAAAGAACAGATCAAAGCTCAAAAATATATATATAACTAAGTGACAAAGAGATAGCCATCCTATCAGATTCACAGTCCAAAACACTGGTAATCAAGATACTCACAGAATTGGTTGAATATGGTCGCAAAATAGAGGACAAAGCGAAGGCTATACAAAGTGAAATAAAGAGAACAAACTGAAGGGAATGATTCTGGCACTCAAATCAATGATTCAAACAATAAATAAACATTCAACAAGAACAAAATGAAGAAACAAGAATTCCAAAAAATGAGAAGCTTAGGAACCTCTGGGACAACTTTAAGCATTCCAACATCTGAATCATAGGGATGCTAGAAGGAGAAGAGGAAGGCCAAGAAATTGAAAACTGACTTGAAAGCATAATGAAGGAGAACTTCCCCAATCTGGTGAAGGAAATAGACTTCCAGGAAGTCCAGGAAGCTCAGAGAGTCCCAAAGAAGTTGGACCCAAGGAGGAACACACCAAGGCACATAATAATTACATTACACAAGGTTAAAGATAAGGAGAGAATCTGAAAAGCAGCAAGAGAAAAGGAGACAGTTACCTACAAAGGAGTTACCATAAGACTCTCAGCTCATTTTTCCAAAGAAACCTTGCAGGGAAGAGGGGCTGGAAAGAAGCAGTCACATTCATGAAAGGCAAGGACTTGCATCCAAGATTACTCTATCTTGCAAAGCTATAATTTAGAATGGAAGAGCAGATAAAGTGTTTCCCAGATAAGGTCAAGTTAAAGGAGTGTATCATCACCAAGCCCTTATTATATGAAATGTTAAAGGGACTTATCTAAGAAAAAGAAGAAGATCAAAACTATGAAGAATAAAATGACAACAAACACAACTATCAACAACCGAACCTTAAAAAACCAAAACCCCAAACTAAGCAAACAACTAGAACAGGAACAGAAACAGAATGACAGAAATGGAGATCACATGGAGTGTTATCAGTGGGGAGGTGAGGGGGGGGTGAGGGAAAGGAACAGGGAATAAGTAGCATAAATGATAGGTAGAAAATAGCCAGGGAGTAAATTATGCAGGTTTCAGGTGCACAATTCCACAAAACATGTGCTGTATACTATACTGTATGTTCATCCCCACCAAGTCAGGTCTCCTTCCATCCACATTTATCCCCACTATACCCTTGTCCACCTCTTCCCACCCACTTCCTCCATCAATCACCACACTGTTGTCCACAAGTGTTTTCTCTTTTGTAATTTTTTTGTTCAGTCCTCCACCACCCCACCAGCCCCTAATCTTCCCCTGACAACCTGCTCTCTATGAGTCTGTCTCTATTTTGCTTGTTAGTTCATTTTATTCATTAGATTCCACATATGAGTGAAATCACATGGTACTTACCTTTCTCTGACTGGCTTATTTCACTTAGCATAATAACACCTTTCTTATTTGATATTCTGTAAAAAGAACATCCGTGAAAGCCTTACAGGAATAAGTAATTCAGTCAGGATATGAAGAAAATGGCTTTTGAAGGTTTAAAAAAAATCTTTATTTTCTTTCTTATACAATTATACTTGTATTATCACAATGGGTAAAGAGGGAAAAAATGGTTAAAGGACATGGACAGGGAGTTCACAAACGAAGAATGATTAGGAGCTACTACCCTTTGCAACAACATGGATGGAACTGGAAAGCATTATGCTGAGTGAAATAGGCCAGGTGTTGAAAGACAAATACCATATGATCTCACCTTTAACAGGAAGCTAAACAACAAAACAAACAAGCAAGCAGAATAAAAACAAAGACACTGAAATAGAGGATAAGGGGACAGTGACCAGAGGGAAGGAAATTTAAGGGGGAAAAAAGGGAAGGGATTTGGAGGAACAAATATGAAGGACACAAGGACAAGAACTAAGGGGGGTGGAAATGGGAGGGAGGTGGGAGCACAGGGTGGGGCGGGGCTGGGATGGGAGAAATAGACAAAAAACTGTACTTGAAAAATAACTAAATAAAATTATTAATAAATAAATAAATAAATAAAATGCCCCCCAGAAAGAAGAATGATTAGTGGCCAAATTAAAAAATAATAAGGGCCCAATATAAGTCACTGCCCCAGAGATACGCATTAAGGTCTTTATTTTACAGAGTTTTAAAGTCAGATTTGATGTTTGATTAGATTTATTGAATAAGAGGAAAGTGTCAAAAATGATGCTTGGGTGATAGGGTGAATAGTGGGGTGATTAATTGTAAGTGGGAATGTAGGCGGAGGGGAAGTGATAAGTTTGGTTTTGTGTGTGTGGATGGTGAGGTGCCTTTGGATCCAGGCAAATGCATAGAGTAGGCAATAGGGAAAAAAATGCTTCTGGAGATGAAAAGAGCAGCAGCAGCTAGAGCAAATCTATTTGGGTATCAGGGGCATGTGGATCAATACCTTTCTATTTTGTTTTAACCTGGCTTCATCTTTGTAAATACCTGGTAGGAGTTATAGTCTATTAAGAAAAGACACACCCCATATCAAATAGGTACCTATTGTTATTGTTTCAACTCAGAGAAATCCTCTTTCATTCTTAGCTATTCCTATTTGCTAGTGGTCAGAGTTCACTGTAGTCCTTTAGTCTTCCTGTCCAGTGAGTTACCATTCTTCATTAGGGTAAATTCAATAGAAAAGGTCATTTGTAAGTATTTGCTTACTTCATTCCATGTGAAATGATAGGGTACACCATGTCTTAGTGCTTCCATAAGCCATCCTATCTCTAAGGGCCCAAGTTCGGGGCCAGGGAAAGATTTGTGAATTGTCATGTGTGAGGAAAATCTTTCATTGAACTAAGAATCCTATAGGACTAGATTCTAAACGTTACAGTGTAGCTGTGCTGACTACATTACCAGTGTTTCTATTGTAGAATTTTAGAGATGGAAAAAAAAAAGATCATTTAATTCAAACCCACCCTCTTCCATAAATTGTACAAATGTGGAAGCTGAGACACCGTGAGTTTGTGACTTGACCAAAATCACATGGCTAATGACAGAAATGGTACTTAACCTGGATTTTTGAACTCCTCATTATCACTTAAATTTATCAGTGGAGAGTTTCTATCTATCCATCAAACCCTGTGTTATGGGCCCACTATTTTTCTGAGCTATTGTTTTTCTGGAAAGGACCTTCCTTTTTTCTTCTACATGGAATCTTATGAGACTCTTAGAAGTTTTCTCAGTCCTTTTGATTTAACACTAAAATGGTTAAGCTTCATTTTAGAAAAGAAGTATACATGATATAAATCCTGCTTTACAGAGTTAGGCATTTTTGACTGAATTTCTATATTTCTATTTCTTTATGTTCTGCTATATGCCTGAAAAAACTGTAAGAATTTTATTTACTTAGTCATTTTATTTTTATTGTAACGGCATGTTCTCATAAGTTTTTAGTTTTCTCCTCTATGACAGGAAATTTCTCTTTCATTTGAGTTTCTATATCAATGACTTTTTCAGGTATGATATTATATACAAACAGCAGGTGGGAACTGAGGATATATACCTAGGATTGACAAAAAAGGACACTTCAACAGCGTGTTGTGAGGATGTAGTGGTAAGCTTCTCTCCCTTCCCCATTTTATGACCATTATAGCTAAATTGACTGCCTGCTGTATACATAATACTGTAGGCAAGACTGTAAACTCTTTAAAAATATTGGTTGATATGTTTCAAGTAATAAGGGAATAATGGGACAGTTTAAATTTGGTAAATATGCACAAAATAAACTAACCTTACACATGTGGATAAAATTTACAAATAAATATAATAGAATCATATGATATAATACACTATTTCTAGTCTATTAAACAGCACAATTTGATTGCACTGAATTTCTTTCATTCTACTTCTATTTCATGCATGCCATCTGAATGGTTAGTAATGTGTCGTGAGTTGACAGGCAATGAGAATGAAATATTTCCTACCCTAAATCTGACTTCTCTCATGTCTATTTCTTTTGATGACTTGGTTTACATTGGAAAATTTAAAAAGGAATTTTTCTTATTTTTAATTTTCTTGATTATGCCATTACAGTTGTTCTATTGCCGCCCTTCATTCCCCTCCACCCTGCATACCCCCACCCCCACGATTCCCCCTTTAGTTTATGACCACGTGTCTCAAGTTCTTTAGACTCTATATATCCCACACTATTCTTACCCTCCCCCCTATCTATTTTCTACCTACCGTCTATGCTACTTATTTTCTGTACCTTCTCCCCCCTTCTCCTCCTCCCACTCCCCTATTGCTAACTCTCCAGGAGATCTTCATTTCTATGTTTTCGCTCCTGATTTAGCTGTCCTTAAAAAGGAATTTTTCTTAATATTTGGAACTTATGGTTTTAAAACTCTAAACAGATATCTAAAAAAGACATCTAAAGTGTCACTTGGCTTCTTAATCTGAATGACATTACAGCATATTGGATAGCATCCTTTGCCAAGCCACCATTTCTGTATAATTACAATGCAGCACCAACAATATCAATAGAATAGACCTTATTTTTGCTTATTTGAGCCTTGTGATAATCTGTTGAAAAGTGTATGTCTAATGAAAAGTGTAGAGTACAGCCCATTTTGACAATATACACTAGTAATTCTGGTGCTAAGAATGTATTTTTTGAGATCTGAGGTTGTGTATCACTCTTTTCCCCTCCCTCTCTTACAATACAGTATGGTATAGAGTACTGACATGCCCACAGGAGTTGCTTAATATTTTTCCTTAAGCAAATGACAAATAGAACCTCTCTTTGGCATGAAATTAAGTTTTTCTGTCATTAGCAAGATCTAAGATATTCAATTGAATCACGTAACATAATGGGAATAGTGACTTCAAGTACCTCAAGAGATTTTTCAAACTTGAATGAGTTAAGGTTTCAAGTGATCTTGAAATAATTAGCTTCCAGGGTTTTAGCAGTAATATTCAAATTATTCTCTCTTAAATTACTGTAAGATTATGTTTTTGATGTCTAATATTAAGGATTGCTCTAAACGCTGAAGAAATTCTAGGCCCTAAATAAATAAAACTGTTGTGGGCCTTACCATTTCTCTTGTGCAAATTGCCATTAGTATTAATGATAAAGGTATACTGAATGATGCATCTTGGAAACTAAATCACACCTCAGAATAGGAATATGCAATCTAAAACCCAAAAGTATATACAGAAATAGACTTGATACCTCCCTCCAATGAACTTATAATTAACCAGGGAGACATAAATGTCTTGTTTTATTATTAACAATTAAACTCAGTGTTGACAATTGTATGTCTACCAGCAGTTCAGAGGGTTTAGATAAGGAATGAACACCACTGAATGGCAGCAGCAAATGAAGCATTTGTTGGTGTAGTGGCACTTTACCACATTATATTTTTCTTTTTTCTTTTTATATATTCAATCTTTGAAGATAGTGAATACTACTATGTACCAGGCACTGTCCTAAGTACTAGGTATACAGAGATAAATAAGAAACAGTCAGTTATACTCAAGGAACTTCCAGTAAAGGAAATGGATACCTAACAAATCACTGCAGTTCAATATGGTCAGTACATATTTAGAGGCAAATGTCAGTTACACAGTGACATAAAGCAGAAAGGGATCAACTTTATTTGGGTGGATAGGATTTCTACAGTGGACAATATTCCAAGAAGAACATTCCAGGTAGAGGTAAGAGCATGTGGAATGGTAACTAGGCATGAAATAGCATGGCCTATTCGAGTAAGCAGTGACTATAACATGAATAAAAGAATAATTGTGGATAGTGGTATATCGGTAAGCTAACTCTCAAAAGATAAAAAAAGCCCTGATTTGTAGCTTTAATTTTAACCCATAAACATATTAATGATGACATCCACTGTCATTGCTTACCCCCACAAGTAAGACACAGACTAAAAAGGCAGTTGACATTACCTCAAGTATTTCTTGCTCAAATTTACAAGCTTATTATTCCTGTTAATTATGTGTCATTTTTTTCAAACCTTAAGACATCATCAAATTGCAAATGTGACATTTATTTAATAATAAAGGAAAAAAGCATGCTACCACATTAAAATGTATACATTGATTGTGTGATATATCTCAATATCAGAAATATTAAAATGCAGGGAAAATTGCACCTTAGAATTGGCTAAATATGTTATTTGGGTCCTGGACATGGTGTACATGTAACAGTTCAACCCAGAGACTTTAAGAAAAGGCCATCTTTTAAACTGAGGAAGCTTTAATAGTAGTACAAACAATTTGTTTATATACAAGGAATGATTTGGGGTTTAAAAATTAATGAGGATCACCCTGTATTTTGCCCTTCTCCAATTCCAAATAAAAAAGCAAGATATATGAGTCCTAAATAAAGCAACTGCACCAAACAAAATTCTGCATTAGTAATATGTATATTTTCAGCAAGCCTTCCATTCTTTCCATCAAACCCCAATCCAAAGAGCTCCATTATCCAAATTCTGCCTGCTGCTCTACTCCTGAGTTTGTAGTTAACAAACTTCCCTTGCCTCAATCTATACATAGGCATTTTATTTTTTAATAAAAATTATGTATATTTAAAATGTATGACATGATGATTTGATATACATATACATAGAGAAATGATTACTACACTCAAACTATTAACACATCATCTAACCTAGTTACCATTCGTGTGTGTGTGTGTGGTGAGAGTGCCTGATATCTATTTTCTTAGCAAATTCCCATTATTCAATACAATATTATTAATTACATTCATCATGCTGTACATTAATTTTAGAACTAGAGTTAGGCCAGTGGTTTGCAGGTTTGTTTTGTTTTGCCTTGTTTTTAGCTCTCAACCATTTTCTTCAAGTAAAATTCTCTAAGAAAGCCCAACATATCCTCATCTTGGTAAAAGGTTACTATCACCCATGAGGCAGCTCCTAGGAGAAAAAACTGGGGTTCCTTGGAACATAAAGGTGATAATCTAGCCTTTCTTCCTCATATTACATTTCATTTCAGAGAATAAGGTCAAGCTTACAAGGTATAAAATGCTTATATAAATTAATGGAAAAACAATAAGGGAATTAACTATACAGCTTTTTTCTCCTACATGACATACCCATGTTTTTTTTTTAACCTTATGAGTAGAATACCCCTATCTTGTTTTGTTTTATTTTATATTTTATTTTATATTTGCTTTAGTTATAATGGGTTTGATATTTATCCTTGACTATATATAACTGAATAATATTTATCACTGTTTGCTATATCTTTTGAAAATTCAACAAATACTTACTAAGCACTTACTATAGACCAGACACTCAATATACATAGTGTTGAAAAATATTGATAAGTTTCTCCTTCTCCCAAAGAGCTTACTATCAGGAGATCAAACATGCCATAAGCAACAACACAGACCTTTGTAGATCTATGCAATAAGGAAACAATGCAATCAAATGGATATAGATTATTACACAGAGAGCATAAATAAGATCAGCACAGTATCAGCTCCTGATATTCCTTTGATCCATAGGACATCAAACAAAAGGGGCCAGATGCCAAATGGCACGAGCAATGTAGAACTTTGTTGCTGAAGAGTTCACTCTAGACTACAGCTAAGCTGTTTTATAGCTAGCATGTATACCCAAGGTCTGGGGCAAGGAATGGAAAAGTACTATACCTCACTGTAACCAGGGAGTAAAATGAGAATTTACCTTCTGGTAGCCTTCTGCAAGATACAGAGCCCCCCTCAAGGAAGGAAGACTGATAAAAAGAGGCTTGAAGCAACTCCTCACAAGACTGACTATCTTCCCCGCTTGTGAGAGGATCACTGTATGTTCTGCCAAGACCTGGGGTGGACCACAATTTAGCCTTGCCTACATAGTCTATGTAAATAGTGCAAAGTCACCAGAATATCAGAGTGAAGCCATTTTAATACATTTATAGTCTATGAGTACAAGTGCTTTTTCTGGTTGTTTTCACTTAATACAATAAGAATAGCAAATAACTTATATAATGCTTACTAGGAGCCAGGAATTTCTCTAAGAACTTTGTGCATAGTAACTCATCAATCCTCACACCAAAACTCTATGAAATCAGTGCTATTATCCCCATTTTGCTAACGAGGTTATTAAAGCACAAAGAAGAAACTTGCTTAAGGTCACACATTTAGAATCTGGAAGAACTACAATTTTAACTCAGGCAATTTGAATTTGATAGAACTATGTACAAAGTGGTACAGGCACAAAGAAGAGGAAAACCAAGCTCACTTCATAATACACAGAGCATCTGAATTGTACATTTTTTATTATAAATCCTATTTTTTCATTGTTCAAGTACAATTGTCTCCATTTTCACCTCACAGCTCTCCCCTTCCCCACCAGCCCCCAGTGCCCACCGTTAATCCTACCCCCCTTTGGTTTGTCCATGGGTCCTTTAAACATGTTCCTTGATGACCCTTCCCCATTTTCCCCCCATTATCCCTGTCCCCACTCCCCTCTGGTCACTGTCAGCGTGTTCTTTACTTCCATGTCTCTGGTTATATTTTGCTTACTTGTTTGTTTTGTTGATTAAGTTCCATTAATAGGTGACATAATATGGTATTTT